TTCACATGTTGCTTATACTAAAAGCATTCACAAGGATCAGATCATGAACAGTTCAACTTAATTTTGAAAACATTGCTTTTAACCTGCCACCCTCAGTCCCCATCCACAACTGCAGTAGTTCTTACATAACTATCATTTTTTATTAGAGCAAGTAATACATCAAATATTTAGTTTCCCCAATTAGTAGGATGTCTTCTGATCTTCTAAAGAATTTTTTCACTCACAAAATTCTTTTTGAGAAAAAACCAAAAAGGTTTAAATTCCCTGTGCCAGAAAAACCCTCATTAAAAATGAATTTGAACAGGAGAATTAGAAGAAGAATAAGTGTTTGACTAGACATTTACTATAATTCTGTTGATCATAGTCTTTCCTCAATTACTAATGAAGCATTGTGATGAAAATATCAGGAAATAATAGATGTTGAATGGAAATTAACAAGATTTTTTTTTTTTTTTTTACATAACACAATAAAAAAAACACCTTGTGAAGAGTAGGGAAATTTGTTTATAGGGTTGGTTTCCTTCTTGGTCTTGTTTCTTAGGAGAAATGTTTGATCCACCCAACAAAATTTGAAATCCTTAACTCATGACTTCCCCTTAAGGAGACTGTCTCCTTCTGTGGACTGAACAGAATTTTTTGAGAGTTCCTCTAATCACAATACAGTGAGGGTGGATAAAGAGGTAAGCTAAGCATGTTTAATCAAAGGTACCATAACTTCAGTATGGTTTGGATCAATTAAGTCTTAAATATGGCGCGAAAACAAACATTGCGTCGCGTTATATTCTGTGTGTATATGGACAAATTTATTTTTGATTTCTTTATTAATTTAGCATACAGATGTAGTTAAACTACAGGGCTTCGACGAGCCCAGTGTCGCAGGCGCTCTACCACTTGAGTCAATCTATCAGAACATCTACTTTAATATTCTGTGTTAGCGAGCAGCGAAGATGTAATAGCAGGTGTCTTTACCTGCTACTAGGAAAGATTCAGGGTATTTATAACCTAGAAAATTAATTGAGAATATCATCTCACAAATTAGAGCAACAATTTCAGTTCTTAAATTATAGGAATATTTATTACCATTACAAATTATTTCATAATAACAAAACATAGTGAGCATTTAAAAATACTTATTCCTTTCATCCAATATAAGAAAAGATCAAAATCGCCTTTGCAATGGAAAGGTATACTTTCATATGTATCTTCTATGACTGTACATGTGTTTATTGAAAAAATAAGTTGCCCAACCTCTTGTGAAGTTGGAAGTGCTGTTTCTCTGGAAAACCAAGCACAGACACCTGAAAAGAATCATCTCGTGACGAATCATCTCACATAAGGAGAGTGAGGATTGAAAGTTAAACAGCTTACTAATGTATCTTTTGACAGAAATGTATACAACAGCATCATCATATATACACCTGATCAAATTTCACACTGTGGCAGCATCCACATTTGAAAACTTTGAATGTTAAGAGCTATTCAGGAAACTTAAGATTCAAAATAGGACTATAATTAGTGAGGTGCGATGCAGGAGTATTGCTGCGGTAAAAAAAATAATAGAAATTAAGAAAGACTGAGAAGAAACAAAATATTTCCCTTCTACCTTTAAAATAATTCATTTTGAAAAGTCAACATACTATTATTTTGACTGTAAGAAAGTAAGATGACATGAGGCGAAGTAATAAATAAGTGGTCTATTGATGGCAAAAGTAGCAGCTTAATCAGGTCTAGTGCCTCCTTCTTAGTGAGACGTAACACTTGGAGGAGTGGATCAAAATCCACATTTCACACAATGCAGCCGGACCCTAGCAGGCTCTGACAAACACCTTCACAGGTACATCCCTACTTTACTTCTACTGCAGTTGGGAAAAAAGCTTAAACTTAATTGTCTCTCAGATGTTAACTTTACCAAAGTCAAATGAGTGTGGAAGAAAACAGTACGAAAGTCTATAAATCTTCGTATTTCAGGGGGTATAGTCTTTCTTACTTCTTTCTTTAAACATAGCTATCATAATATCGTATTGCGGTGTCGCTACTACTTAAATAATTAATCTTCTAGCCTGCAGTAAATACCACTCTGGCGTGAAGAATTTAACTACTTTTTACTTATTAAATAAAACAAAGCTGCTGCTAAAAGCCAAGGAAATATAAATTGAGTAGCTATTTATCTTTCAAGCATGCTTGCAGGAATGATAGCAGAATTATGAATGTAAAGAAAATCAAACAAAAATAAGTAAGCTTTAAAAAGTATGTGTTTGCAAATATGAGAGTGTCTAATGCTATCAAATCCCAGGCATTGACATTAATTTGAGCTATTTGTTTTCACAACAGAAATAACACATGTCCCTAGATTGTGTGTGAGAAATCTTTAATTGACATGTCTTATCTTCTATCAGTGGGTCGATGTGGATGACCCTCTTTATGTGAATTTACTGAGTGGACCTTATTATATTTAATTGGTGAGACACATCAAAAGTTTTCAAGACTAGACATTACATTGATAAACATAGAATATTACTTTCTTAAACTTTGTTTATCATGTTGATGATGAAAAAAAATAAACACCACGATGTATGTGAAGTAATGCGAGAGAGGACTATTAGTAAAAAATGCATTAGGATGTTTAAATTACATGTTAATGAAAATGGCAAAAACTAAATTACTTAAGTTAATACTCAATTATGATAACCAGTACCAACCATAATCAACCCAAAGTGGACATTGAAGGCCCAAGATATATTCTATGAGAGAATAATCCGGTAGAAGCAGACAAGTGCACAAGCCTCTTGTCATTTGTGGCCTTAATCCACTGCCCGGAGCCTGAAAAGTGCTCAGGATAACAAGTGTGGGAATCAGTAAAATCAACATGATTTTTGCCCTTTATTTTCTTAACAATACTAACTAGATCAAGAGTGCGTGTCGTATGATGGAAACTGACAAAATACAATAACAATCTGTTGACAAAATCCAATCATCTGAGATTTTCTAGGAGGGAGGCAAAAAATTTCCCTGATCCCCCTCTTCCTTCTCCCCCCTCAATCACTACCTTCTACTACCTACACTAACAACACAAGGCCACCACTGACAAGACACGAGAGTACAGAAGGGGATGGAGAAAGAGAGCTTCGAGAACAGGAGGAGAGGACAAGGAAGGAATGGCCAAGAGGAATATAACAAGGAGATACAAGTAGAACAAGGAAACCCAGAGAACGCAAGGACAAAGACAAGAGGGACGAGAGAACCAAGAAACTAGAGCTCTCCAATTTGAAGGCTTGTAAGACAGATTCCAGTAAATAAGACACACGCTTAGTAAGTATCTATAATACTAATGCCATAAACTTTCCTCAAAGCGCGTTCACTGTCAGAATAACAATGTTTATCCCTTTTATAAATGACTAGACTCAAGCCTGATGTATTTTCACCAATATCTAAATCTCCACCTATTATCAGTAGAAATTTATTCTTGTATCAATGTTGAGTAACAATACACTTTTCTTGTGATTTAGTACACACCAAATTCTCATGAGTATGCTTTCTATATTTCTCAGTACTAGTACTTACAGTGAAGAGTTGAACAATAGTCTGGTCTATTATATTCAATAAGTGGCAAAGTGATGTGAATGAGAGCGATAGTCTGGCACATAGAGAGACTTGCGAGCGAGTAGAGATAAGGTAACTTACAATCAACTTCTGCGGAGAATTGTAGTCTAACAAACCCCTCCGACACCAAATGACGTCTCTTCTTATATCTCTTATCAAAGACTTGTTTAAAAGGGCAAACCTCGCATAACCCACCCCATATCAAATGCCCTATTTGAGTAGACATTTTAAGGTACATCAAGACCACGGACTCAAGCAACTGCTATGGAAAGGATTAACTAAGAGGGGAAAATCAATTTGTAGAATATTCCACAGACAAAATTATATCACAACCCGTTCCACCGAGCTACTGAACGACACTATAAATATAAGCTACAATTCATCCGAATGTTCTGTCGCTTGACACTCGTAAGTGACTGTTTAGTAAGAACGTTATCATCGATCCATCTGGCCCTGATTTATGTAAACACAAGGGAAGATGTGTAGTTTTAAACAATTAATTTCAGCACGTCCTGGTGAAGTGCACTCAGAAAATGTAAGGTCCATAGCAGTTGTCTCATGAGAGCTAGGAAACACCATAGGAAGTGTCGTATAAAGTGGTGCTGGAGATATCCCTTGTGAGGAATCCCCGGTCCTGTTGTACTTTTATATCAAAAATTACCCGCTAGGATAGGATCCGTAAATTATTTATTTCTGAGACTGAGATTATGATAATTGGGGGCTATCACTTAGGAATTTCATATCACGGGAGAATTGCAGGTCATGTCAGGAGATGAGAGAACTGAGTAGTTGAGCAGCTGAAGGGGGATTGTTGGGAGGAGGGAACAATCTCTAACAAGGCTTTAAAACGTTCAGTGGTTAAAGTTATACTGATGAGGAGATATATATGCATACACACACATATACACACAATGCACAAGTTCAGCAGGATTGTATAATGAGCATGGATTGTAAATTATGTAGGTAGCAGAATTCAGATTTTTTTAATCAAAATTGTACCCCAAAATGGCTATAAAACGACGCTTGCCTTGGGTAGGTAAGCAGAATTCAGATTTTTTTAATCAAAATTGTACCCCAAAATGGCTATAAAACGACGCTTGCCTTGGGAAGTAAATTTATAGCTACATGCCTTACACAGGCACGCTGGAGGGTTCTGCTCCCGGCTCTAATCTCTAGGAGATGTTTTTTGCATGTGTTGTGTGACAGGAGGGAAGGGAGTGGGTTGAGCTGCCTGTTCTCCCATTGTCAGCCAGTCTAGTGAGTGTTGGGAAAACCTGTCTGCGGGATCTTGTGTCATCTCTCCCTACATGTGTACAGGAAAAGTCCGCTCTGCTCACAGTTCCTCTTTCTCTCTCTCTCTCTCTCTTTCTCTCTCTCCCTCTCTTTCTCTGTTTCCCTTTCATTCTGCTTCCCGGGAGCCGAATGAAGCAGGGAGCAGGATTAGAGTCTGCCACCGGCTATCAGCGGAGAGGAGATAAAAGGAACTGCTTCTTAAGCACCACTGCAGCAGCCCTTGTTAATTCTTTTTCTTTCTTTCCACACAACAGTTGTGCCTCATTATCCGGTGCCTGGCTCGATTTTTTTTTTTTTTTTTGGAGGGTTTGAAGTTTCTGTGCTTCAGTGACTGCTACAGAAGAAGAGGTGCTAGTGTTTCCATGAGGTCTTGATTGTCTGCATTTATGAATGAAACTGACCTAAATCACCTGTTACCTCCAGTTTCCAGATTGTTTGAACTTCTCTGGCCGCACAATACAGGAAGGAAGACTGAAGGAACACAGGGACCGACAGCTTCTGCAGCATGGGCTGGTTCACTGGGATTGTCTGTCTTTTCTGGGGAGTATTACTTACAGCAAGAGCAAACTATCAAAATGGGAAGAACAATGTGCCAAGGCTGAAATTGTCCTACAAAGGTAAATCTTTCTTTTTCTTTCATGTGGCTAGCTTTGTAATGCCCCCCTCCCTTCGTTCTCAAACCATCAAACCCTTAGTTTAACCTGAGAACCCTGTGTAATTCTGTGTATCTCTCTAAGATAATTTAAACACTTTTCTTTTAAAAAAATGTCTTCTATTTGATATGTGACAATTTAAATGCAAACAAAGAACATTTAATCATATTTGTGAGAATTGCTGCGTGCCTGGTACATGCTGATCTGTATGTTTTATGATTATATCTTATGCTCTGTTAATTTTTCTGACTGGACTTTCATTAAAATATTTTGAAAACAACACTAATTCAAAAATGGTTTCTTTATAGCTGTGCATGACTTACCTATAATAATTGCTATGATGAATTGTATTTTCTTAGTTTTAGGCACTAAATGGTTAATCACCATCATGAATATTCAGTTTGTTCAAATCTGACAATCAGATGCTTAACATAAGCAGTAGATCGGGGTTTGCCAAGAGAATATAAACTGCAGAGAACAGACTAGTTTTTCCACAGTGTGTTATGATTGTACAAAAGGCTGTGTATTTGACTAATTGGTGTAAAGCTAGCCTTTGAAATACAATGTTATTTAATTCCATATGTACTCCAGTGAGAATTGAAGGGACATTATTCTCTAGTTGCATAGCTAGTTATATGAACTTCTTTTTTAAAACAGTATAAATTTAAGAAAAAAACAGCTTTATCATATGTATGCATGTACTCATTTGTAAATGAGGATTTTTAAGAAAATATTTATTCTATACTTATTTGGATAGATTTCATACATTGATGTGTAAAGAAATGCTAAAATGATTCCAAAATGGTATTATAACTTTTAGTGGCAAAAAGTATTTATATAACTAAGGTGTTATTAAATGGAGGTGAAGATTAAAACTGCTTTAACTCAAGTAGTTTAATAACTCCCCAAGGTGTTGACTTTGTATGATTCTCAGATTTCTAGAATTGGGGGTGGGGCAGTAAAAAGCTTCAGTTATGCTACATTTTTAGACTATATCGTAAAAGAAAACTATTGTATATTTGTAGATATGCCTCTACTGTACACTATTATTATGCCAGAAAATATATTTTTTTAATTTTCACATGATGGGGAACATCTTTTTTTGAATGCTGTAGTGTGAAAGAGGATGTCAACGAAGGAGAGAGATGTAATTTTCACTCTTTGAATTAGAAAATTGAACACCTACTAATTGCGTTTACTTGAACTTAATATTCATTGGTTAAAAAAATTTGAAAACAAATTTTTGCTATCATATTTTCATGAGTATACAATTGTGATTAGATTTTAAGCATCAATTAATAATTGCAATTTTATTTATTGTGTAAGTTTTAAGATTCATACAGCATCCCCTAAATATTTAATTCTCTATTTTATTTCTGTATAACTATCTTTATTTCCATGGTATATAAAGATATGACATTTATGTTTTTGTCTTTGCTTTCTATTTTCACCCCTAGAAAAGACGTCATCAAGTAATTCTTAGGTTATATACTTTATCCAAGTTTATATTCCTTATAAGTTTTATATGCAACTTTAGTTTTCAAAGATGTGACTAGCTACATGGTATAATTTCAAATTAGCAAGTTTTAAAAATCCACCAGACTTAGAGATAGTTGTCTAAGTGCTAAATCAATTGTAAAATAAAATAAAAACTGATAATTTTGACTCTTTAATTTGCTAACATGTTATTTCCATGGCAGTAAATTATTCTGCATCATAGAAGAGGCATTTATCCTGTCTATACATTCAAATTATGAAACTAGCATTTAACTGAAATACTCCTTTGTGGTGGGTATGCTTTAAACTTGTCGGATGAAGCAAGCAGTATACATTGATAAGGTGTAAATACTTGACACTGTCTTTTTGAGCTGTTTTTTCAGTGGCATCTATCAGAATCATTCCGCTTATCTTTAAAGCAAAAACTGCCCCGCAGTTATATAACAAGTTTATCGATCAACCAAGAGCTTGGCAATTTGGCAAAACAAACTGTGAAATGGACAACAGCAAGAATAAAAGGAATGGTCCAAGCAGTTTTCTTCTGTCATTTTATTGGTCTGTCATTATCTGTTTGTCTCTACATGTACACTTGTTTTGCCAAAGCAAATGTCTGGTAGCCAATTGTCAGTATTTTGTTTCTAAACTATAATGGAGGCGTTTTTTTAGCTACTTCTTTTTCATCCTTAATTAGATGTCAAACACAGTTAAAACATCCATTTTATTCCCCTTAAAAAATATTCCAGCATGATTCATGAAGAGTTAAATCCCTGCCAACCTTAATTTCCCATGGTCACTTGTTTTCAAAGATCCACCATTAACTCCCTCCATGCTCAGGTTGCCAAGATGAAGTTTCAGGCAATCACTATGCTTACTTTCTACTTGTCATCTTGCCTGGTGGGAGATGAAAGAGATTTGATATGTTAAATGAGAACGAAAAAGCAAGAAGGCAGCCTTTGCAGTGGATGTACATACATATCTAATAAGATACCTCTTTACTTTCTAGGAAAAGGGAATTGAATAGATGTGTTCAGGACCATCTGGAGAAGTGATAATATTAGAAAAATGGGGTATGCTGGCTTTTCCTCTGAACCAATCTGATTTAGAATCCTTGTGGGGGAAGAAAATGTGAGAACTCTGTAAATCTCAGCAGTCACATAGAAATTATCCTCAAGAAACATTCACTAAGAGACACTTTTGCCTTGTTTAAATGTAGGTAATATAGCTAGATGTTAAAATACTTCTTTTCTGAAGAGTTTGTTTTCTCTACACAACTAGTCACATTTCCCTTTTGTCCTAAAATGCTAGAAAATCATATAATCTTTCATTTGGGATGAGTGGAAACAATGAAGTATTCATCAAAACCTATGTGAATCACCAAAAAAAAAAATAATAATAATAAGCCTTGGGTTTTAAGCAAATGATAAATGTTCCATCATTCAATGCAGTGGGTTTTTCCAGGACACTGAACTTACATGCAAGTGTCCATGTGGTGGCAATACTGTGAATCCAAAGGTTAAGTCAATGATTGTAACCTTAGCTTCATAGGGAAGTCCTAGAAAGTACTTCTTAAATAAAGAGTGGACATTTGTAAGTCTTTCTTTTCATATTTGCTGAAGTTTTTTTTTCTTTTTCAGAGTAAATTTTTTGAATGTTATAAAAATGAGATTACCAGTTGATTCAAAATTCTCATACACATCTTTCTGATGCTAGAAAGCAGTTTTATTTATTTGAAAATTCTGAAGTAAAATCTTCATGATTGCTTTAAAAATTAAAAATTAATTTAAATGATGATTCACTAAACTTTACTTCTGTTCAGCAATTTACTTTTACCAGAGCATATACCTTTGTATATTTTATTGTCTATGACTTACTTATCTTTATGTTGATATTTATAGTTGAGAGAACAAAATTAAGCAAACTACAGGATGAGAATTATAGTAAAATTCTTTACAAATAAAAATTATTGGTTAAAATGACATTTTAAATCACATGTATAAATGATTTATAAATACAATGGAATGGGTGTGTTTTATAAGTCCTATGAAAACGTTTCATGAATATTTTGTGTATTTATATAATAGTATAGGAAAAATTTGTCTTACACTAAAAATCTCCTCAAACTAAAATGAAATATTTGTAGGAAAAGTGACAGGGGCATGGGGGCAGACATGCTACTCACACACAAATATACACGTCTATGTACAAAGCAACAAAGTTATAGATTGTATACAACGCCCTCTCTCAAATAGTCACTGCATATTTGGCACCATGTCTTTGACTTGCTTATTCTTATTTAATATGAACTTTTTTCTGAAATTTACTAATTTAAAATCAGATTTTGATTCTGAAATCTTGAACATAAAACACAATGAATACTAGAACTTTTTATCATCTGTTCAAGAAGTATATCCTGATTTAAAAAATGAAAAATGAACATAAAGTAAAGGAAAAGAATCATACATCTTGTGATTCAGCTCCAGTTAGGGCACATAAGAGCCAGTGAAAGTCTCCAACTTGTGGTTCTCTACTTTAGCTGCCAACCAGAATGGCATTTGAAGTAATAATGTATACAGTGTAGACTTGAGCAAATAGGAAAATAACTGAGACCACAATATTATTCCGTATAAGCCTCTAATCCATCTTTTTTTAGTGATATTCAGTCATTTTTATGTTGCTTTTTCTTTTCTCATGAGTGATTTCCAAGACCCTACTACTATAAATGATATGAAATACCTATATATTCCATGAATTAGATATATAAGCCTGTGACATCTGATTTCCTTGTCTTCTGATTTTTATTTATCACACATAAATCACACAACATAATTGACAAATATATTTTTATTTCAGGTCAATTATATTTAGATTCTATAACCAAGAATTAATGTAATTGAAGGACATTTCAGGAATAAATTTAATTAGCTTAATTAACATGATTACATGTATACTTATGTAATATGATTACATATGTATTTGTTGGCAAAATAAATGTTAAGATTCTGGTTTTTGAGGATATTATTCCTAGTGTTAATGAATAATTGCATTGTTGATTGAATTTTGTGTCACATTTGGAGGTATGTGCACCAAGAAACTTGTATTTTAAATTTAACATGAATTTTAAGACATCTACAGGTAATTTCCTGATTTAACTTCTCATTCCAAATTTTCTCATTCAAACTTCAGTTGTTGCATCTATGCATCACAGCTCAAATCATTAAAGTGTACATCTTCACATCTTTTGAATAATTTTTAGATCTAAAATCAGGACCATTCTAAATAAAATTTATGCTTGAATTTTTTTGAAATATTCCAAAGTGGAGCAGTATTAAAATAAATTTGGCATTGATAGCAATCTAAAACTATTAATTATACAGTACTAATACTGTATCTTGGCAAGTTATATATTAACCTAATAAAACATTAGCCTCATCAAAACTTGTATGTGGAATCTCCAAAACTCATGACAG